AAGAAGGGAAAAAATATCTGAACAGCGGCGTGCGAATGGAAAGGGAGGACGAGTAGACGGCAATGGTGAGAAAAGGGGTTGGGGCTGCTGTGGAAGGAATTTTTTGTTTTTTCATTTTTACTGTAACATGATGCTCGTCGGCGTCGCAGATCATGCTCGTTGCAAATCACTTTGTAAAACTTGGAACCAACTTGATTGCACAACCTGAATCAAAGGAAGAAGGAGACTGAGGGATATGGATGTTGAAACTGAATGAAACAGACAAACAAAACAAAAGTTAGAGATTATGAAAATGATTATAAAAAATTTATGATTTTTGAATAATTTTGATTAGTGTGTGGTATTTTATTCTAAGTGTAATATAAAAATAACAAAACTTTCATAACTATTTTCATGAAAGATTTTCCTAACATTGTTGAAAAAACATTAGGAGGAGGGAAACACGAAAGCCCATTTAATTCCTATATGCACATACAAAGTCTTTTGTTCCTTTAGTCGTTTGGCATGTGGTTCTGGTATGTATTAAGTTATTTTAGTTATAAAAAAAAAGGAAAATTAGACTTAGGCTAAATGTTATTACATTCAAATTATACCTTTTTTTTTTCTCTCATAAAAATTAAAAAAATTAAAAAAATCTATCTCAAACAGAACTATTTTAGCTCTAGTCTAAAATAGTCAAATAATAATAATAATAATAATAATAATAATAATAAAATAAAATAAAATAAAAGCCTATACACATTTTAAACAAAGTCTTAGGCCAAGTTTGGCATCTTCAAAAAAATTCAAAAACTCAAAAAGACACTATCTTATTTAAGTCACATCATCTTATTTAAGTCACATCACTTCTCTATCACATCACTTCAAACCCAACCCATACCTAACCCATATTTTATAAAAAGTCAAAAAGTATACTTATTTAGGACATCCCAAAATTTTGAAGAGTTGTTGATGTGGCAACTTCTTAATGGGTGCCGTAAAATGCAGATTTCACAGTTCATCCATTAATAATTTAGGTTTTGTTTGGGATGTGAATTAATTTTTTGGCTATTTTAAATCTTGTTTGGAATAATTTTTTGGTTTTTTGATTTTTGTAAGAGAAAAAATGAAATAATTATGGTTTAGGCATCGTTTGGAAACATGTTATTTTAATAACTTTTTAACTTTTTATGAAAAAATATGCAAAAAAATAAAAAGAGTGATGTGACAATTTATAATGACTCTTTGATTTTTTTTTCACTAAAACTGAAAGTTGTCAAATAAGACCTTAGATATAACATTTTATCTTATTAATTTTTTAATCTATTTTATCTTTTTATGACTAAAACAACCTTTTAACCCCAAAAATATTCATGCCTAACGTGGGCTTAATATCCTCCTTTTATAGTTCATGACTACAATTAAATTTTTTTAAATGTTTTTTATTTTTTTTTGTCAAGTACAATAATTTTTTAGTTAGGCTTTCGGTTTGTTTGAGAGTAAAATAAATTTTCTATTATTTAATTAGTTAAAAAATAAGTAAAATATTTTTCATTCTAAAAGTGTAAATTAATTTATATTTAAAATGTCGTTATTTATTTTTTTTTTTCTTCTCATGGTCAATATCATTGAGTTTTATATATATCCAACCTCACTGTTTTTATATATTCATGTATTCTGGGTGATTTGAGCAATTGATGGGAATTAGATTTTGAATTTGTTATATTTATTGCTTTAAATTGTTATCTTATTTTATTATTGAGTAATGATATAAACATAAATGTTGAGCTTTTTTTTATATTCACATCTTAATTTTAGAGAAATTGAGGAGCCCGTAGAGTTGATTACAGGTTTGTTCATTTTGTACAATCTTCAATTATTATAATTCATGAAAAAAATTAAATCGATTCAATAATCGTATCATTTTCATTTTATTATAGTTGTGTTTAAAAAAATTAATGCTTTATTTTAAAAATATACTTGTTGTCCATTTTTAGGAGACAAATGTGATAAAATGAAATTAAGATTATCCGATCAAACTAATTTTTTTCATAAATAATATACATTGAAGGCTTTACAATATTAATGTTCGAATCATCAAAATAAAACTTCTTGTAAGTTCCACTTGCCTCTTAAAATCTCTTATGTCGATATATAAGCCCACCGCGAAACAAAATTTGTAGACAAAAAATATATAAAATCTCTTATGTCAATATATTAGCCCAACTCTAATTAAAGGGGTGTTTTGAAAAAATTATTAAAAATTGATTTTTTTAATTTTTTGAAAAAACGTGTAAAAAATAATATGACTTAAAATAAATTAAAAATTAAAAGTAACTTTTGACACACGTTCGAGAAGAGGCCAAAATTTATAGACACAAAATATATGGGTAATAATGTATCGCGTTTATATTCTCTACTTGAAAGTCAAAATTCTTATGTGGCAACGAGGTGTCGTTGCACAATATTTTTGTGTTCAATTCTATATGAATATTATCATTATTTTTAAAATTATACTCTATAATTAATTCTTTATTACATTTTTTTGTTGTAAAAAATGTTTTAAGTTTTAATTAAATACTAAAAAGTAGGGTAAATTACAAACACCCCCTCGAGGTTTGGTGAAAATACAGATTCTCCCTTGAAGTTTGAGAAATTACAAATTGTCTCCTGAAAGTCAAATTTTCATAACAAATTAGAAGAAATTAAGAGAGAATTTATATGAAAATAAAAACTTCATGGGGCAATTTGTTATGGAAATACAAACCTTAGGGGTGGGATGTAATTTCTCAAACTTCAGAAAAAAATCTATATTTTTACCAAACCTAAAGGGAGGTGTTTGTAATTTGCCTTAAAAAATAAAAATAAAAATTTATTTTTAAACAAAATTATTTGACATAAAAAAAATATTTTACAATATAAAATATTTTTCAACCCCTGAATGTGTATTATAATTCACCAACCATACGGTACTCGTAAAACTTACCCAAAAAAGTATGTTGATGTGTGCTAGGACCCACCGACTCTTGGACTCAATTTGGCCCAACAATTTACTGCCTCGTTCAGGTATGTCTTTTTCATGTTAAAGCTTTGTAACATATGGGTCAGCCATGTAATCACTATAATTATATAAAATATTTTTCAACCCCTGAATGTGTATTATAATTCACCAACCATACGGTACTCGTAAAAACTTACCCAAAAAAGTATGTTGATGTGTGCTAGGACCCACCGACTCTTGGACTCAATTTGGCCCAACAATTTACTGCCTCGTTCAGGTATGTCTTTTTCATGTTAAAGCTTTGTAACATATGGGTCAGCCATGTAATCACTATAATTAAGCTAATTAAAATTACTTTAAGCCATATGAATTATGCTTAATTAATCTGTTCCGGTATGTCTTTTTCATGTTAAAGCTTTGTACCATATCGGTCAGTCATGTAATCACTATAATTAAGCTAATCAAAATTACTCTAGGGCATATGAATTATGGTTAATTAATCTGTCATGACATTCCAATTATCTTTTACATAATCAATTACAACTTAATTTAATTAATCACCCTCTAACTACACCTAACCAAAATTCAAGCATTGAGCTAGTCAATAGAAACTCTTTATTAAAGTTTTTTTACTAATTGATTAGCTTCCAAATTTATCATTAAGGTTTTTCAAATCTCTTTATTAAATAGCTAAGTTTACTTAAATGATTATTGAAAAATTATTAAATAGTCTAGTAGTACCATATAATTTTTTTGTCTATGTGAATTGAGACTCTTTTTATTACATGAATGACATGAAGATCTTCATTTCATAATCAATAAGAACTAGAAAGTAATATAAAATTTAAGTAATATTGTGGGCTTTTGTAAACAATCAACATATATATATATATATATTGGGAATAGATTATTTTAGTTAGTTATTTGACTTTTTAGTTATTTTAATTTGGTTAAAAAAATGTGTTTGGGATGATAATTATTTTTTTTGTAGTTGATTTGATGGTTATGAGAGAAAAAATAAAATGATCATGGGTTGAATGCAATATTTTGTCTTATTGACTATTTTAACTTATTTTGTCTCTATTAGCTATTTTAGCTAAATATCTTCTAGCCAAACAGGGCCTTAGAAAATTTTTAGATAATTAATTTTAAAATTTGAAATAAATTGCAAATAAATATATATATTTTGCATGTTATTTTATTCTATGCCTCGTAATAATTGATTAAAAAAGCCACCACTAATTTGGTAATAATTGTTTTTTTTTCTTCTTAATGTTGGTAATAATTGTTCATTTGCCATTTTTTTACTTCAAAAAAAGAGAAGGAAAAAAACAAAAAAAACAGGGAAAACTAATCATTTATCATAGGGAAATTTTACCATACACCTATTTTTTTTCTTTAAAAAAAATGTATTATATGTATCTTAATTATGCCATTACCTTTTTTTAGTTATAATTATGATAATATTTTAATTATAATTTATAAATCTTTTAATATATCTCATATTATATTTTTAAATATAACTTAAAAAATATAAATTTATGTCAAATTTTTCCCTTATCATATGTTTCCGATCTTATCTAAGAGCATCAGTAATGGAGTAGCTAAATACCGTGTTAGTGTCGACTGCTAATTTTGAGCAAGTCATTTTGTGTGTTTGCTCTCACAATGGAGCTGTTAGTAGTGTGTGTTAGTAGTGTTTGCTAAAATGTTTGTAATCTGCAACTAGCTGTTTAGCTAGCAAAGGGGAATGTTGTTTTGTTTTTACGGGTTGTAGGCCGATTGACCCGGTCAACGGATTTTTTTTTTACATATTGGAATTTTTTTTTTACTTAAAATTTAATTTTAGACTTAAAATTTTTAATTAAACTAAATTATTTATTTATTTTATTTATTATATATATATATATATATTTAACACACTCTTTAATACATCCATTACACCACCCCTCACTTTCTAAAATTAAGGTACTCTTAAACATCTTATCAAATATTTTTAACCCCACTTTTATCGCTTTTTTTCCAATAACACGCTTCGACAAACAATTTCGGCTATCCCATTGTGGACGCCCTAACATGATGTTATATGCAGGTGTGTCTAGAGGGAGAGATCCCTGCTATCCCTGTATTGAATGAAGAAGACCCCCTTAGGGTTCAGATAAAAGAGGTTTTTGAATACTTTCCGCAACTGCCTTCCGATTCCCTCATCGGTGTTAGAATTGTGCATGTGTTCGCATTGCCGGATGCACCGGAGGTGATTTACAATCCCACTCCCTCATTTCATTTTCATTATTATTATTTTTTTAAGTGTGCTCAAGTTTGAAATGCTTTCAATTTGATTTTTCCAGGAAGAATATCAATCAACCTCTTTGAAGCTTTTGACAAGGTATGCAATTTTGTTCCATTTTACACTGTCCTCCTTCTCAATGATTAACGTTTGTATATGGGTTAAAAATGTATAAAAATGTGTGTGAAAATATGTAAAATTTACATTGGAGTTCAAATTTTTTTTCTTGACATTAGTGGATCCTTAACAATCGGCCAATAGAATGTCGTTGCCCAAAAAAAAAAAAAGAAGAAGAAGAAGCAAACCATTAGTGAGTCCTTAGTCAGGTAGATGGTTTGATTATGATGCCAGCAATTTATGCAGTGAGTAGTGAAGTTCCCGTTTTGCTGTTAATTGACTCTGATGAAATCTAGTGATTAATATATGTACATTTTTTGCACAATTTTGTGAAGTTTATGCACTAAAATGAAGTTTGGTTTGCTTCTGCATTTTGAATTTCATTACATTACATAAATTTCACTTTTATTATTTATTTCTCCAATTTCATCAACCAATCACATAACGGCATATACATGTATATTTACACATGTTTATGCACAGTACCCATTCTAGGGGGGATTATTGAAAAATTATTTTTTTATAAGATTATTTCTTTTTAAAGAAGGGAAGAAAAGAGAGGTTTGTAGGGGAAGTGGGGGCACAGGGCGAGGCCCTGAGGGAGAATGAGGATACCAAAGAGGGAAACGGTGGTGGAGGTAGGGTGGTGTTGGGAGAGATGGGCAAGGGAAAAAGAGATAGGAAAATGGAAGTGGAGTGGACAGCCATAGACGGCATGGTCAAGTGGAGTGGGTTGAAGGTAACGCAAGAGGGGGGAAGAGGGAGAAAGAGGGAGTATGGTGGGTTGGAGACTAGAGGGTGGGTTTGGTTTTCCAGGAGCTGATGGTGGATTTTTTAGTGAGGCTAGAGTAGCTAGCTACGATGGTGGTCAAGATTTTGGTGGCGGTGGTGGTGGGGGACTTGTGGGGGATCTGGTGGCAATGGTTCTCCATTGGGTGAAAGGGCTTTCAAAAACCAAAGGCAAATTTTAGGGAGTAAGAGAGTGATTGGCAGAGTGAGACTAAGGACAGAGATATTGAAGATGCAAAGGATGGTGGTGGTTGGTTGGCTACGATGGTTGAATAATGTGGGGGATGTGGGGTGGAGAGCAAAAGTAGAGAGAGGGGGAAAAGGGATGAAAGACATTTGCATCAACACAACACCATTTGAGAGAGAGAAAGAATAAGGGTAATTTTATCATTTCACATTATTGAGCATCTGTAATGCAAAATAAGCAAGGGTAAAAAACTAATTTCACTATCTTTGTTAACTCTGTTTAATGATTTTGCTATAACCTTGAAGGAGTGTGGATTATGAAAATTTGAATTTTGTGGCATATTACTCAAGAGTCTGCAAAATTTGAATTTTGTGCCAACTTCGATCTTCAAAGCCATCTTTGATGAGTTTTTGTTCATTGTGTTCCAAGGGGTTGCCTTGGTTCTTGTTGTCAATTTACCTTGGTTGCTGGTGCGATCTCCAATAGTTATTGTAAACATGAGGTTTTTGAGGAGTGTATGTATTTCTAGGGAGAGTAATGCTTGGTAGCCCGAAAAGGAGGTTGGCTCGAATGGCTCGAAATTCATCTTGGTGAACGTCCGGCTGGTCATCCAGCAAGAAGACTGACAACCGCGGTCGACAAATGTGACAACCGCAGTAGACAAGTTTTCACCCGGTCGTCCGGGCGGACGTACACCCATTCGGGCCATTTGAGCCCCATTCGGGCCATTTGAGCCCCTCCTTTTCGAGCTACCAAGCTTTTTTGTTCTAGGGATGGAGTTGCTTTGTTTTTTTGGATGTCATTTTGTTGTATTGGCATCTTGCCAACTTGTTCTTACTGTGTTTTGGACTATGGATTTGGTTTGTGCTTTCAAATAAGTTGATATATATATTTGAAGAAAATGATATGACTTGCTACTAAATGGAAGGACATGTCCAAATACTACTAGTAGTAACAATTCTTAAATGAGTAGTAATAATAATTTTAAAAAATCACAAACTGTGTGCCAAAGAGGACCATGAACTGGAGAAGAAATGAAAGAGGATGTTGTCAATACATGTTCTTATTTTGAACCTGTAATCTTTTCAAAATGGTCTACTCCTTAAAAAATCATTTGCCTTGCCAAATATGAATATAATCTTAGTGTCTCCCCTTTGCAGTCCATGCCAGGTTTGTGTGAATAAACAAAATTCCAAAACTTAAATATGAAACTTGACATAATTAGAAATAAACAAATAGATATACTCTTTGGGAATTTTTAATTTTCCTGTGTGTAGGATAAAATTTTAGTAGCGAAGTATGTTAGAAATGTTTGACATTTGAAGATGAAGTCGCACCAACAAGGATATATGTTTTCTCATAATGCATGTAGAAATGTTGCTTAACTATTCCTTATTAGTGGATTGAAAGAATCCTCTTATAAATTCTTGATATTAGTTTAAATTTGCGTGTCCACAGGTACTACAATGGACACATGGCACAAGATGTTGTGGAAGAGGTTTGCACTAATCTGATTTTATTTGATATGTGTTTTTTTCTATTTACTATAGTTTGGTAGAGTTTGTTGAGTTACAAACAATGATTTTTCAAATTAATGTTTCAGTCATGTGATGGGGTTAAATGGGTTTCATTTGATACATTTGAGTTCTATAATATTATATGCATATTTCAATTAATTACTAGTTGTTAACAAGCCAATGTTTGAGTAACCTAATTTAGACATCTACCAAAATGTCGTAAGGTTCCACAAAGGGAAGCCAATTTTCTTACCCAACTTCGTCAAAAGAAAGGAAGAGTGCATTACATTGGTGTCTGCACTAACCCTTCCTCTGAGGACTTGGACCTTTGGGAGAGTCGAGGCTTCAAAATACTCTTTGTTGGACATGTTAAGGTACCACTTCAAATATTTTTCTTTTAAATGTATCTTTGATTTCATCCTAGTTTCATTTTTATTGCTAATTTTTGTCTTGCTGCATTACAAGTCAATGGTTGAGATTACATGTGTGATGATTATACCATTACATGACTACGAGGCACATGTTGCTAGACATTTCGGGAACTGCTCATTTGATGAGCTTTTTAGAGGTAAGACTTTTTTTTTATTTTTAAATCTTAAACTTGTGTAGCCATCAAATGAATGTAATCCTTGAAACTTGTTCATGTGTTCAACAGCCTTCTCTTGCATATTTATTTATATCTTAAGCTTGTGTAGCCATCCAATGAACCTAATGCTTGAAACTTGTTTATGTGTTCAACAGCCTTCTCCCGCATATTCATCGGAGCTTTAGCATATCTTGTCATTGATCACTTTTTTGCCTTGAGGTAAGATTTTTTTTTGTAAGGTTGTTTGATAATGGAACCTCAATCTTTTGATGTTGTCGAGTTAATTGTGTTTGATTGGTGTAGGATATTGAGGCGTAACATTGAGTTAATTGTGTTTGATTGGTGTAGGATATTGAGGCGCAACATTGAGTTGATCCAGCAAGGTGAGCCTGTGCCTGCTAAGAAACCTTGGGAGAATCTGACTGATGAAAAGAGAATTGAAGCTTTCATCCGGCGGACCCACCCAATAGAGGTGAGTCAGTGGAAACTTGAAATATATTCTAATGAATTGTTGAACATCTTACATGATTTAAGTAGGGGTATGAATATATTTGATTTTGTCTATTTAAGTAATTCGTTGTATATTCTTCCTTATATATGTACTAGCGTATGTTCGTGCCTACAGGCACGGTGTAAATAATGATGAGATCAAAATGTAATTGAATATAAAATTGTTGGGTTAAAACATAATTTACCCTATTTGTTACTAAAAATTTGAAGTCAAAATATGAATAGAGGTTAGGTTAGTTTTGAAAAGATTTTTTTTTTTGAACTTAAAATTATGTTTAGTTGTATATTTTGAAAATAGACATTTTCAAATCAACTATTTAAAATACAGCAATCACCGAGTGGGTCTTTCAATTGGTACCTATGGCAGGTAGCAGTAGCTGCACCTTCACAGCTCTAAATGTTCTAGTTTTAAAACATCTGATAAGATATTCTGGTCTTTTTTGTAGTTGGTCATTCATTTGGTACCATCGATTGCTCGGGCATATTTTGGCGGATCACTCCCAGTCCTATTGTCTACCGACCAAGAGTGTGTTTTGTTCCTCTTGGGTCTGCGGTGTTATCTTGTACGACAGGTTAAGGTTAGATGAGAACTTATTTTAAAACATTTTACAAATATTAACTAGAACTTATAACTTTGATGCTATATATATATATTTTACAGTAATGCTAACTCTTCTTATAAATTCAATAATTTTTACCTTTGATTCACAGGAAGTTTTGCATTTGACCGATGATGAGATTTTGCAACATATGAGAGGTGTTTTTCGAGATGTGTTGGATTGTTTCAACACATTATCTCCAGAGGTAGGTTGATTCTAGGCAGCTTATGAATTTAGTTATTGAAAACTTTTGGTTGTTTAAAAATGAACTTATTTAATAAGCACTTAGATGTTCCTGTATAAAACTTCTTTTCTTTTAATTTGTCTATAATCTTTTGAATTCCATATTTTTCTTATCTCCATATTTCAATTAGGTTGTGGATGAGGGCAGCAGTGGAGCAGTGGTGTGACTTCTTTGCACGAGTGTGTTCTTTGTTGTAGTTAACAATGACTAGAATTGGTAAAGGTGCATCGGAATTACAACTTGTTTCGTTCATTCAGTAGTTTGGATAAGCATATATAAATCTATGGATACACATACAACATATGCTGGTGAAGGTCTAAGGCTCATCATGGTTTTCATTATGTTGATCTTGATAGTTGCAGGGCCTTTGTTATCTTGCTGTTGTTATTTTTTGTTTTCTTGAATTTTTATTTTTACAAAGTCCAGATTGTCGTTTCCAAATAGTTTTGATCTTTCATTATCACAAGTTGACCACCCAAAAAAACTACCCCTAAACTAATCGGACTCGCAGGTTTGTATCTTATGAGCATTTGACTTCTAGTTCTAGTTGAGTAAAATTAATATCAGTGTAATTCACCCAATTAATTTTTGACCAATTTTTTCTATCATATTCATAATCTAATGCACACATTGTTGTTTATTTTTATTTACTAATGCTGTGTTTGGTTGGGAGATTTGAAGAGAGAATTGGAAAGGGAAAGGGAAAAAGTGTGTGAAACTAGGTGAAATGTAGGTATATTTTATTTATATTTCACCTAATTTTTCCCTTTCCTTTTCCAAATCCCTCATCAAATTCTTCAACCAAACACAGCGTAATTATACTTTTGTATGAAATATTTTTATTAAATTATGGGTTTATTACACTTTCTATCCTTAGCCTAGCACCAAATTGTCTACTTAATTCCTGAACTATTGATTGAGTCTATTCGGTCCTTATAGTATATCAATCAAAGTTTTTTTAGTGCTTAAGCTATCGATTGAATCTATTAAGTCTTTAAAATATTTAATTCAAACATATTTAGTCTCTGAAAGGATTACAAAAATAAAATATATATTTATACGTATTATAAATTAATAAAAGACCCTACTTAATTAAAATTATATTATAAAAAAATTATAAATTTTTATTTTGTCTTTAAAAAAGTGTAATTGTGTGTTTAAATAAGTATTAGAGTTTGATTTTTTAGTTATATGAGTATTAGATATACTAAATAAGTAAAATTAGATAATTCAAATAATCGCACTTTGGTATAAATAATAATAGAATAAAATAATGCATTAATTAAATTATAAAAAGAACTTAGGGAAAAATTAAAAAACAATCAATTAAAAATTATAAACGAAATATGATATAATATTAAATAAAAACAAACACTTAGCCATGGTAGAAGATAAGTAACTTTTACTCTTATAAAGAAAATTCACTATGAGAACTGATGTTCACTTTTTAATGACAAAATAAAATTTTCAAATATTTTTAAAATAAAAACTTAACTCAATAGGATCTTTTGCTAATTATTTATTAACATTTATTTTTTTCATAAATTTTTTAGTAATAAAATAAATTTAAACTAAATACTTTAGGTAGCGAGATACAGTGAGAGAGCCAAAATAGAAAGAGAAATGGAGTGCCTGTTGTGGGAGCTTCGAATTGTACGGGGAGAGAGTGGACTTTAGGTACCGAGATACAGTGAGAAAGAGACATGGAGTGCCCGTTGTGGGAGCTTCGAATTGTACGGGGAGAGAGTGGGAGGGAAAATGAGAGAGGGTTCAGCAACTTTATTGGGCGGTTTGCCCTTTTTTTTTCTGTTAAAAAATTAAAAAGGATGTTATAAGTCTTAAATTTTTTACTAAATAGATGATCAAATATCTCATATTTATTTAGTAAAATTTTTTGTATCCCTAGCATTATCCAAAAATTAAATAGTCAAAATTAGAGATTTGTAATATAAGAAAAAATAACACTAGAAAAAAATAATTATAAAAAATAATAAATATTTCCACTTATGTATAACAATTTTTAAATATTAGGGCAAATTACAAACACCCTCATCGAGATTTGGTAAAAATACAGATTTTTCCTGAGGTTTGAGAAATTACAAATTTCTCCCTGAGAGTCAAATTTTCATAACAAATTAGGAAAAATTAGAAGGGAATCTATATGAAAATAAAAACCTCAGAAGGCAATTTGTTATGAAAATATAAACCTCAGGAGACGGGATGTAATTCTTTAAATCTCAAGAAAAAATCTATATTTTCATCAAACCTCGAGCGGGTGTTTGTAATTTACCCTAAATATTATAAAGGTAATTTTTCCGTAATCTAATGGCGTGCAGTAGTACTAAACTTTTCTTTTGAGTTTAAAAAATTAGGAATTTGCTTTTCTCCTATCTTCATTTAGATTGTAGGGTTGTTGTTTGGGCATGTAGGTTTCATCATGCAATCTGTTTTAATAATTTATTTTTATGATTTTTTGTGCGTCAATTTGATATTTGTAACATCTTTATTTTATTGTGTCTGTTTCTAAAAAAATACAAAATGAACAAGTGTGCTTTTAAAAATAGATAATTTATTTTTAAAAAAAATAAATGCAATAAAATGAATATCTTATAATTATTTGATCGATCTATTTTTTTGTATGGACCATATACATGAAAAAATATACAGTTTGAATAATTGAAATAAGACCTATAATAAATCCCAAAAGTCGAGATGGTGCTTTTCCTGTACAAAATCCTATCCCTAAATCTAAACTTAGCATGTGAGACATACCACGAGTCCCTTTAATGATGTGAATTGTTTATTTTGTAACATAAAATAAACATAATGTATATTGTTTATACAAAAAATTAATTTTACTATTGAATTGTAAAATTTTTATTTTTATCATATTTTGCTAATGATAGAGCCTGGGACGTTTTTGAAAAATACTCTGTATATTTCCTTTTCAAATTTTTTTTGTGAAAATTATCAAAAACTAGCTTGATAAAAATAAACACTAAAAAGATGTTTTTGAATTTTTAGAAATAAAAAGAAAAAAAAAATAATGTAAAAATTATAAGTGTTTTCAAAAAAAAAAATTATCAAATTAATTTTTAGTGTTTTTTAAAAAATAAATTATTAAAACGAAATTAAAAATCTTTTTTGTGGGTTAACTTCTAGGACTCTGTTTTTATGTTCTCTAGCCAGCTTTGTTAGGGGTTTGTTGTTGTTTCTCTTGTAATCTCTCCGTGCAAAAAATACGAGGACACAACACGGGAGAAACAAAAAGCAGTGGCTTTGGTCCAGTCTAAGATCGGATTGAACTGTATTGTTGTACTTATGGGGGTCCATCACGAGTCCCGTTTTGATAATTCGAACCGTTTAATGTGTAGAACTCGTCGAGTACTATATGCTTGTAAAAAATTACGTTGATCGGATATCGATAGCTATGTGAATAAAATAGTTTTTTATCAACCGTTAATTGTTTCACCGTCCATTTTTTTTAGAAAAATGTTTGGTGGCCACAATATTTGCGGCTCAAATGGCTCGAATTGACCAAAACGACGTCGTTTTGTGTTGTTTTGTGTCCAAAACGACGTGGTTTTAGTCAATTCGAGTCATTCGAGCCTGAGAAATTCGGGCCCTCTATCATTGCTGTTTTTTTTATACAAAAATGATTTGACCACATAGCTATTGATATCCAATCAACGTGATTTTTTTCAGACATGTAGTACTCAACGAGTTCTACATATTGAACGGTTCAGATTATCAAAACGATCCCAAAAAATGGACCCCATGAGCCGAACTGGATGGATCCAGTCTTAATCTCAACTTGGGAGAAGCTGGACCAAAAAAAAAATTTTTTTCAGACATGTAGTACTCAACGAGTTCTACATATTGAACGGTTCAGATTATCAAAACGATCCCAAAAAATGGACCCCATGAGCCGAACTGGATGGATCCAGTCTTAATCTCAACTTGGGAGAAGCTGGACCAAAAAAAAAAAGGAAAAAGAGAAAACATTGTGGCTGCTGGGATTCGAGCCCAGGTCTCCACGGCCACAACGTGGAATTCTTACCACTAAACTACAGCCACCAGCTATGTAATTGCTCTTCACTAAATTATGTCACTTATAACCTTGAGAGAATATCAAAAATTTGAAAGTAGAAAAATAATTACAAAATGATAGAAGTACAAGTAATTTATGCATTGAATTATGTAAGAATGTCTTGTACTTTCATCACTTTATAATTATTTTATGGCAATAATATTTTTCTGCAATTGTTCCCATAATATTTCTTAGCATCACATACTTGTATAAAAGTTTATGATCATTGTGAGGTTCTTGAAATCTTTGTTTGGTTAGATTTATAAAGTGATTGTCTGTTCATATAACAACAAGTGAACACATGAAAAATAAAAAATAAAGATACCACATATCATATATGTCATATTTAGGGATGTTTTGGCAGAATTGGCTTTTTAGAATGAAATTGTACTTAAAAAAATTAGGGTAAATTACACTGATAACCCATAAAGTTTATGTTTATTACAGTTCTCTCCTCACCTTTTGGAAATTGTATTTCCCCCTAAGGTTCAAAGTTTCATTACAGATTCCTTCCTCAGTAATTTAATTTTTTAAATACCAATTTTGCCCTCATTGAGTAAATTACATTGACACCCCTCACATTTTAGAAATTACAATCTCCTCCCTAAGGTTTAAAGTAGCATTACCAATTGCCACCTCGGTTTGTATTAGTTGGAAAAAAAATTCATTGAAAAAGTAAATTAAAATTAATAAAAAAAAAATTGTTAGTAAAATTTGTAAATTTTTTGTTTAAAAACCAACGTAAACTCATTTTTTGAATTTATACTTTTTCTTCAAATTTACAAACTGAGACAATATATATAAACCAAAAAAATTATCAAATAAGTTTTTATGACAGTTTTTAAAATTTTTGTAAATATAAATTGAAAACTGAAAACGAAATGATTACCAAACAGGGTTCAGATGATAAAAATGTCGTAAAATTAACAAATAATTAAATAAGTTACCAACATAAAAAATGACTTATCAAAAGATTTTTAGGCTATGTATGGTTTGATTTTTAGATTTTTTTAAAAAAAAATTAAAAATTAATTTGGTTAAGAAATAAAAAAATAAAAAATAATTATCATTTAATGGTAAAAAATAATTATTATTTTAACTTTTGGGCAGATTATATACATATGTATGGCTTTTTTAATTTAATTTGTAAAAAATTATTTCTAACCACTCGAAAGATAAAAATTATATAAAAATTATATTTATTTCTTATTTCTTAACCAAATTAATTTTTAATTTTTTTTAAAAAAAATTCTAAAAATCAAACCATACATAGCCTAAGAATCTTTTGATAAATCAT